CTAGGACAAAGTATTTATAGGTTTGGAGATTGGATAAACTTTGGAATGGTTTTATGTAGTATATATAGATGTGGGACAAAGAAAAGATTTATCGGTTCAGTATTTATATGTATTGATCTTTGGCTTGTTGCTGTAACATTAAACAGTATTTTCTTAAAACATAATTAAGACTTGGTTGATTTTTTTGTAATATGGGTATTTTAACAAAGGGAAAGTTTTTTACATTGATTCAGACCTTTCATTAGGAATTATACCATTGATGAATCTTATTGAAATTATGAGAATTTTTCACAACCTAAATAGCTTATATGCAATCTTATTGACCAATACTTTCTATCAAATAAACTGCATTTTGGCAAAGTATATAACAAATGCTATGATTTCTTGTTTATTCTCCCAATGTGACAGTAGGTTTATTTTTATGCAGAAGTCCTACGGTTCTCAACCTTGTCATAACTTTCCAACATAAATGCTTTAATACATTGCAAAAGTACAATGAGGTCTACTGCATATAAAAAATTCAGCAGGTAATATAACCGCTATTTCTATAGCTGTATTGTCACAATTTAATTAATAAAATTGCTTCTAAATACGACAAAAAAGTTATAATCAAAATCTATACAACATCATTTTCAACAGTTTATATGGAATTGTATAGATTGCTGATTAAATTTGTATATAAAATATACCCTAGTGAATTATAGGTTCTCATTCGTGGAAAATTAAATGTATTTTATGCAATAAAAGCTATCAAAATTTTACATATCCAATGTTTGGATATAGTATGCTAAATAAAATATCCATGGTGATTGCGATAATAAAAATTAATGATCGTTACATCTTGTTTATTCAGTTCAACCTTAATTTTTGGCGTGAAATATCTATGATATTTGCCAGTGGTAAGATAATGTCTTATAAATGTGTGATAATATCTCACTTGCTTTATTTGCATTCTCCTCTTGTTAAAACAGGATATTTATCGGTGCGAAAATATATTAAAATAATTGATTTTTAATATCGAGATGAAAATTGAATTCTGTGAAGCTGAAATTAACGACAAATATATTGTTTTATATAGACACATAATTGATTATGATAGGTAGAAATGACACAGTAGGAGTTATGTTGTGATTGGTAGATTGTTAAGGGTACAATTGTTTAAGGACAACTTCTGTGCTGTATCATAGTTTGAAACTCGTTAGTGGTAACTAATTAACAGGAAACATTAAGGTAAGATAATATCAGTTAAATATAATGAAATTTCAGAAAGTTTTTAAGATATATAGTTTAAACTGTGTATTCGGCATTTGGAACTCAATTAAAGCCAAAAAGACAATATAGTTTTAACAATTTAAATCTTCTGATATTGATTGACATTTGTATCAAAAGTGGTTAAAAGTTTATTATCAATTTAAAGATATTCACTGCTCACATTTTTAACCAGATTTCCGAAGGAAAAATCTGTTATTGATTTGGGGATGTACGGCATGCGGGCGGGGGGGGCGGGTGGCTGCCAAACAGTGTCCGTGCATTTACTCATGAACCGTTCAACCAAAGCTTTTCAATTTTAATATGTTGTTAGTGATGACAAAATGGATGTCAAGTTCAATATTGAAGATTTTCACTTTCACCGTTCAGGAGTTATGGTCCTTGTGATATTGAAAAATACCAGGACACAAATAAATGTTTGCTGTCGCTCTGACAGCCTCTTGTCAGAATTTTCTTTTGTATTATCACTCTGTGCTTTCCCTTAAGGCAATGCATTAAAAACTTTTGCCATTCAACTCTTAAAATTTTCAATTTATTTTTAGAAACCGTTCATCTTTCATTTTCATATTAGAAAAACAAAAGATCCATTTCCCGCCTTTTTAGTGTTTCCTTACATCTCAAAACTTTAGGAGCCTTTAAGGCTGAATGGTCTAAGTAGTTAATCTACAGTCATGATTTAAGTTGTGAGTTCGGATTTGATCTTTATTGAGAGAGGATTGCCAGATTTCTTTCATAAGGTCGTTGGTTCACTCTGATTACTTTTGCTATCTCCACCAGTAAAAAAAAATGTTCCATAATACAACCAAGTTTGATGAAAGTGCCGTTAAACACCAACAAACAAACATCTGAAAACCAATCACATGGAAAATACCATGTATAATATGGTGATAATTTGAATTTCTATCTGTTAAACTTGCTTAAATCAATGTTCACACCTGTATAGCCATATCGTATTATATGTTTTAAAAGAAAAAAGTTTTTCTTGAAATCAAATTTGGCCTTTTACAGATTTTAATTTTAGTTTTCAAATGGTCAAAGAAAGATAACTGTTATTTGACTTATACTATTATAGTATTTGTAGATATATATCATCCTACTCAAAGCATATTCATATCAAAACAAATTAAAACTTTCTTTCACAATTATTCCACACAAATATAGAAGTATTACTTTTGTAATTGGAAAAGCAATTCATTGGCATTTAAGTTTAAAGCTTTGACACCTATCGGATCCTCTTACAATCATAGAACCAGTGATTGATACTTAATTAGAAATAACACCATTTTCCCTCATTGGAAACCATTTTAAAACGATATTGAAATTTTAGATGTAATTGATTTCTGAGATGATATATACTTCATGTACGTAGGGTTTAATTTGTTTTATGCAAATGAGATGTAATTATCTTCAGATTTGGTTATATTTCTATTTTATCACCGCACCGTTCTCAGGTTAGATTTATAGAATCATATTGAATAATCAATAGCATGTAATATCTATTGACATATATGCTTCTATATTGAATTAAGTTTTCCTAGAACACCAACAAAACAAGAATGAAAAGATGACATTTACGTAATTCTCTTATTAAGTTCAGATAAAGATGAGCGATGTTTTCTTTGTGTGCAAAAATTTTAGCTGCAGGACTTTTTTTTTTTAAACGTTGTAAGTTTTGTTAACAGGTTTAATGATTTCTTGTAATTTTCTTGTAAAAGGAGTTTTATCTAATGTAGGTAGGAGGTTGGAAGCAGTAAACTTTAAATTGGTGGTAATTGAGTTCGTTTTTAGTGAGTTTTAATGTGTTATAAACAAAAACATATAAGGATTTTATTGTTCATGGACTTTAAAGACATGGTGTGCTTTCGTGTGCTCCTTAACAAATTTTCAGAAGATGGTGATGTCTTTCACAACATGCATATAAAGGATGTATTGCAGATGATTGGAGAGACATTGAGAAAAGCTGTTTGATGTTATTTGAACCAAGTCTTATTAATTATAACCCATAGCTGTCAATTTTAGAGTGATATTTTTTATTGGATAATGAAATTCTATGTTATAAAGGAGAAAATGTCAAATTGATGATTTAAATCTTATCAAGGATTTTCGATATAAATTGTGATTTTTGTCACTGATTTAATTGTAGGAGTAATATGGTAATGAAAAGTGTGAAGGAGGCTGTTTTAAATCTGGGAAATCTTATGACATACTTTTAGTTGCTTGAGTTATGATTATTTAAAACAAAACTGCCTAATGATTAATGGGATGAATTTGAAAGTGAAAATTTAAAAGTCATTATAATTATGGGTTGAAGAACAGTACAGAAGGAAGAAAAAGAAATTAATCTTGCTTGTTTTATTTTATATCTTGAGTTTGATAGTTTAAAGAATAGGACTTAACCTTTTTGTTCCAAAATTAAAGTGTCAATTATATTGAAAAGGAAAATGTTTCTGAAAGTGAAATCACTTTGTCAAAAAACTTTCATAATGTTACTGCTCAATTTAAAAATGTATTGCAGTAGAATTATAATATTTACCTTGTTTAAAGAATTAGATAATACTGGATATAAGAAATGCTAGGTCTGTAGGATATTTTTCAAAAGTCATATGACATACAAAAGTCTGTAACATGCTTAACATCTGACTAAGTTTTCTTTATTTCCAGTCATTCCATAAATGGTAAAAATAATTCCAATAGTGATAGATTTAAATTTACCTATGGATGAATCATAATTAGTTTTGTCTGTGGAATGAGGTGTCAGTCTGGCCAGGCATTGCTCATTCTTTAGATGATATCATCTTAACCTTCCAATAATTTACTTTTGTATGTAGAATAAACAACAATATCATTGATTGTTAAGAGAAAATTATAACATTAATTTCACACAAAACTGGATATCAAAATATAAAAAGACATTTTAGAAAATTGTTGTTCCAGCTGCTTGAGTGATTTAGGTGCCGCTTAAAAAAAATGGATTGGTGCAATGTGTCTTAACAACACTTATTAAGTATGCCATATTTTTTAAAGTTAAATTGTTTAGTTGCTATAGAGTGTACATGCAGGAAATAGAAATCACTTATTTTGTATATATATGGAATGCAAATAGAACATTGATATTAGTTCTTGACTGACATTAGATCTGTGTGTAAATATGAAATTGAAACTTTTGGTATATTCTGACTGGGACAAAAGTATAGTTTCCTTATATGTATTATTGTATATATATATCTTGTGCCTCTAAGGAAATTAGATAGCTGATTTTTTTGTTGCACTTGAACACTTAAAGACAAGGTAGATTGATATAATTTGTTTACGAGTCTTTTGCATGAAATGTTCAAGACTATTTTGAGATATATTTGCTTCTTTGGTAACAATCAGTGATTTGGAATATCATACATGTAAGCAGAATTATCTAGTAATTATTTAGTGATGACTTGACCTTAAAGTAGATGAAATGTCACATTGCTGTTACAAAGAGACACGTTAGTTATCATTTTTATCTCATGTAAAAGTTTTAGGCATTCAACTAAATTTCCCATACTCTTTCAAAAAGAAAATTCACTTGATAAAAGGAATTACAAAGTGATGATGCAGTTAATGAGTCATTGATAGGTCAGAACTATTTATTAGCAGGATTTTTGTTATCCAGTATATTTGTTGAACATTAGTTTTAAAATGCTTTAATTGAAAATGATTTACACATTTAGTAATCATAAGTCTCTTTCTATTTTCAGGTCAATGTGCCTAGATGAAACAACCTACAACTGACATGCCATTCTATAATGGAATGTGAGACACTTTCATATGCAACAAAGAATTTAGCACCGAGCCCTCCACCAGAACAAGAATTTTCGTCAAAAATGGTTGTAGATCTTCAGTCACACTGTGCTGTTATGGCAGAATCAACTATAACATCATCTCAGCAGTTCAAAATGATGGATTCTGAATCAAATGATGTTCCAGAACAAAACTACAAACTGTTGCCTCCAGAAAATATCATGACACCAAGTCCAGATAACCCACCAAATATTGAATTCTCTGAAGTGCCAAAAGATGATATGTATAATGAGAGGAACTCAAATTCAAGCCCGCCAAATTTAAGTCCAGAAGAAGCAATGGATTCAGATCCAATGGAACAAGACTGTAGTTCTACAGAATCTCAGATCGGCACTCCCGATAAAAATAGATCGCGGAGGAAACAGACACTAGAGGATATAGTGAGACGTATGAAAGAGGTGGAGAACGAGAATGGATATTACAGTGGTGAAAGTGATGGGGAGGATGATGAGGACGATAGAATGCCAAATGGTTTGATGATAGACATGAAAAATGGTTGTGAAAACAAGATGGAAGATGAGGTCGATGGAGACGTGTGCCAAAATTTAATGAAACGATTTAATCAGGATGAGCGAATACTGAATGGACTTAGAGAGGGAATCAAAATACCAGGACAATTCTCCGAACTTAACGGCAACCATAGATCTCCTGCTAATAGTGAAGATCAAGAGAATAGAAATATTTTTGAGCATCATGAAAAAGAGTTGGCCGAGAAAATTGCTGAGATGGCTAACAATGCAAAATCTGCTGATTTTACAACTCCTCCAAAATTAAATGGTAGTTGGCTACATGGTGCATTCAGTGGTCTTCCTATGTTCCCATTCCCACCAGGACCTCTTGATCCTCATCTCACGCCAAATTTTCTACCATTTATGGATAAAAATAAATTTTCATCACCTCAAGAACTTGCTGAAAAAGATTACCTGAAATGTCAGTATTGTGAACGAACTTTTCGACGCCAGAAGAATTTGGAAAATCACATTGACAACACGCATCAAGGAAAAGGGCCTGTCAGAAGAAAGACTGAAAATGCAAATGGGGACATGTACTTCAAATGTACACATTGTCCGTATACAACTAAGCATCAGAGTAATTTATATGTACATCTTCGTATACATACAGGTAAGTCATTTTATTTGTTTTAATTTCAAATTATAGTCAGAAATAAAAAGAAATGTGGATACATGCAACAAAACACGACATATAGAGGTTAAAATACTCTCTTCAACAAAACAAGACATCTAGAGGTTAAAATACTATCTTCAACAAAACACGACATCTAGAGGTTAAAATACTATCTTCAACAAAGCAAGACATCTAGAGGTTAAAATACTATCTTCAACAAAACAAGACATATAGAGGTTAAAATACTGTCTTCAACAAAACAAGACATATAGAGGTTAAAATACTATCTTCAACAAAACAAGACATATAGAGGTTAAAATACTGTCTTCAACAAAACAAGACATCTAGAGGTTAAAATACTGTCTTCAACAAAACAAGACATATAGAGGTTAAAATACTCTCTTCAACAAAACAAGACATCTGGAGGTTAAAATACTATCTTCAACAAAACACGACATATGGAGGTTAAAATACTATCTTCAACAAAACACGACATCTAGAGGTTAAAATACTATCTTCAACAAAGCAAGACATCTAGAGGTTAAAATACTATCTTCAACAAAACAAGACATATAGAGGTTAAAATACTGTCTTCAACAAAACAAGACATATAGAGGTTAAAATACTATCTTAAACAAAACAAGACATATAGAGGTTAAAATACTGTCTTCAACAAAACAAGACATCTAGAGGTTAAAATACTGTCTTCAACAAAACAAGACATATAGAGGTTAAAATACTCTCTTCAACAAAACAAGACATCTGGAGGTTAAAATACTATCTTCAACAAAACACGACATATGGAGGTTAAAATACTCTCTTCAACAAAACAAGACATCTAGAGGTTAAAATACTAAATTCTGTCTTCAACAAAACAAGACATTTAGAGATTCAAATTCTGTCCCAACAAAACAATATATTTAGAGGTAAAAATTTTGTCTTCAACAAAACAAGACAATTAGAGGTTAAATTATGCCTCCAACAAATCAAGACATCGAGAGGCTAAAATAGTTCTTTTCTCAAATTATCTTTTGAAAGAGACATTGTATAATCATTGAATCATTTATTCATTTAAGTAGATAAGTTCAACTTTTAGCAATTGTCAATGACAAGTATAATATATGAAACAAGAATATTCATAAGGAAGTTTTATAAAAGCTACAGAAAAATTTTTTTTATTTGTTTATAAGGAAATATATATACATATATAACATATATAATGCACTAAGTTTAAATGGCATGAAATAGCACAGTTAATATTGCTCACTTATTTCTTAAACAAAGGGAAGTAACTCCAGCAAAACAAAGAAATCATGCCTGCCATCTATATGAAGGAAATAACCTGTGCTATTGTCCAATTAAATAGATTATAGCTTATGTATTAGATTTAACTAAAATCTCATAATATGTTAGAAAATCTTATACATGTCTATCTGGCAGTTTTCAACTATATTTGGAGTGTGGAATGATTATAAGATGTACATGTCCCTCTTCCGGGGTTCATCTGACTTTGACCTTATTTTCATGACTTAGAATTTTGCTTTTAAATTTACACTTTGAATCTTTCCACAGAGTTTTCCACAATAAACAAGTCTAGGCTTATCAAGTACTGTAACTTTGGAAATTATTGAGAAGTTTATATTAATGCAAATAATGTGACTTGGTGATTGTCACAATAATAAGAACTTGCATTCTGATATATGATACATAGATCTGTATACAGCTTTTTCCTGAAAAATACAATAATAAATCTCACATTTTTAGCCATTCTTCTAAAAAAAAGTGCAATGTTAAATTCGCGCAATAATTTCTGAATTGACAGTTACTGAGTGACAAAATTACAATTTGATAGTTCATTTAAAAGAAATATACATCAATATATATATATCTGTACAGCAATTTCATTTATCAAGATATATGCACTTTTGTGAATGCTAGATAATTCAAAGTATTTGTTGTTTTGCAGGAGAACGACCATACATTTGTGGAGCATGTGGTGTACAGTACAGTCAGAGTCATAGTCTAAAAAGTCATATCATCAATAAACATGATGGCATCATGTCATATTATATCAAAGAAAAGAGGAATCGGTCTCCCAGAGGGATGGGTTACCTGACACATGTGTCTCCAGAGGTCTCTATGTATAAAATGTCAAACCCACCTTCAATGGTCCCACCAAATCCCCTCCAAAACCAGCAGCCATTACTTATGTCACAGTCAAACATTCCTCTGCCAATGATGATGCCATCACCACATCATCACTCACCTGGGCAACAGCAGCACTCGCCCAACATCAAGTCAGAAAATCTCTCGCCAAAAGATCTAGTTTCACAAATGGCCATGCACCATCTTGCAAATCTGCCAAAATCTAGTCCAAATAGCATGATGAATGGTCAGATGTCTCCATTCTTTTCTCAGAATGGTCTCCATCACTCACCGTCAAACCATCAAGAGGAGGAGCTACCGCTGTCACTGGTATCACATAACAAGGTGCCACGCCCACTCCAAGAAATCAACATAACAAATGAAGAAAACCATGGTGCTATAGATCTTACCAAGAAAACACCAAAGCAATCTTCTGAATGCAATAATGTCACAAAGAATGGATCGATCTGTTCTGGATCAGCTGAGTGTGAGGACTGTGCACATTCCATGAAGCTGAAAATGTTACGTCACAATGTGGTCCGCATGCTGAGTATTCTGGTGCCTAACCTTAATTTTGAAGAGAAAGGCATTAGCGCTGAAGGCGATTCTGTTGATGAACTTTTACATGATGTTATCCAAAGCAATATTCAAGACGAAGGAATGAGTGACTGAGATCTCCATGGTAACAGGGAGGATGTCAAAAATCTGTCTCCGTCTGTTATCCAAGAGTTGCCGAGTGCAATAATTATCATTGTTCAGTCACATATCAAATTGTGCCATAGGCAAGGCCTTGAACATTATAATGTAGGGCAGTCTTCTAAGAACTCATTTCATAAATATGCTGTAGATTTTTTTATATTAGAATGGGCATTCCACATAGCTTTTCACAGCTTACATGGTGCAAGACTTAGTTTGCTTCTCTAATAATGAATATTTAAAAAAGGATTTTTTTTTTATTCATATACTTTAAATCTAATTATGTAAACAATTTATTGAAATTCAGATTTCTGAATAGTTGCATTTCATTTTTTTGAAAGTTTTAAAATTTTGTTTTTTTTATTGAAAACCACCGAAAACTTTGTTTTGAATTGGGTTGTTAGGAGACAGATCTACATATTCTCTCAAAATACTATTATCTTAATTGGTGGAGAGAGCCATATGATTTCATTTAGATGTTTCTCATTTGGTCGAAGACCGATATCTCATCGTCATTATCATGTCACTTTGTTTATGCCATATTAAGACAATGGTTCGTCCATTTAACCAAAGATATTTTGAAATGTCTTTTATTTTTAATCACATTCCTGTATGATAAAGGTAAACCAAACTATTTTGAATAGACTTTATTATATGTGTATGTTGGTTGTTGATAATATGTTGTGAACTATATTACAACATGTAGGTGTATGGTTGTGAATTTCCCAAGATATACATATATATATATATTCATGTGCTTTAGATTTATAAGTGAAAACTTGAATATATATCTTATATACATGTTACGTATGATGTTTATATTCTTATTTATGATAATGGTCACATTTTAATGTGATTTAGTTAACTCCCTTTTAATGTCTGGTCATTTGTGAAATTTTTCTGATAAGTATATTTTTGTTATGTGTCTCCGAGATTACATTGTTATAATAATAATAAGAGTGTTACGTATCAAACTAGTGATACTGCCAAAATAACTGTTGCTTCCATTTTATTTTATATGTCTTCCATTCTTTGTACAACAAAATAACAATTAAGTAAGGGGTCTGGTTTAATTTCCGTTAAGGAATACATTTTAAACCAATCACAATATTTTGGAGAATGCTTTGAAAATATTCCTGACATGTTTTAGATTCTGAAACAATTTTAACTCACTCTGTTCAACAAAGCATTACAAAAATCATTTGGTCAACAAGATTGACAATATAAGCAAGTAGATGATTTTTAGAAAACGACAGAAAATTTGAAATTGGATTGTGAAATTGATATTCATTTCTTACTTTTGAAAATGTTTACAATTATTGTATTCAGTATATATAAAAAAAACTTACATGTCAATCAATGATATAAGTGAACAGATTCTAGTGTTGTGTTTTGGGTTTTCTTAGAAAAATTTCACAAATGATATTTTATACATGATTAATTGTGCTGTTGTGATTTAGTGCTAGTATGTCATTTGTCTTGTGAAGTGTGTTTCTATTTATATTTACTATACATTTCTTCAGAATCATTTGCAGAAAAGTTATTATTACATTTTGAAGGTATTCCCCATTTTGTCAGATCAGTACTATTCATCGAAAAAATGCTGGATAATTTATTTACAAGAAAAAGTTCATATATATTTAGGTTGCCATTTGTATAATGAAAAATTAGTGTCAAGTTATCTATTATATAGATATTTGGACATCACTTTGATATCAGAAATTTATTTCATGTTTAAATCAGAAAGTTGTGTTACACATTCTGTACTTAACATCCTGGTGTTTTTGTGAAGTCACACAGACAATTATGGAACAGATTTCTTAAGCATATTTACTTAATATTTGATTTAATAAAGTCTTGGATTCAAATTGTTCCTTTCTTAACTTCTTCTTTTAGTGACAAGGCACAAATTGTTGTTGTTAAGTTCATTGCTTTTTTAAAGTATTGAAAGATTTGAAAATTGTATTTTTTTTAAATATTGTCATTACAACAAATGTTAAAGAAGATTTTAAAATGGAAGAAGAAGGCAGAAATTCTTTTATTTTTCAAGTTTAACTGCTTGGAAAGGTAATAAATTTTAAAACAAATTGTAATATTTGTTATTGTTGCATTCAAAATACAAACATAATTTTGAATATATGCAGTGACTGTAAGAACTCATTTAGATCCCTACATGAGAAGAAATGTATAGTAAATATTCTTTACAAGTTTTTAGTACTTAATTTGAGTGAGACTTTGTACATAGTATGAGCTATTGTCAAAACCATTTGTAGATCGATCAGTTGTACTTATTTTCTATGTTATTTACTATAAAATCAAATGATGAGTTATCAACATTCCGATTGTTAATAGGTTGTTATTATTTTTTATAAAAATCTTCCACAAATCTTTGAGAATTCCACTGCTGATGATATGTTGAATTTTTGTGTCATAACATGAAGTACAACTTGTGTCGTGTCAGTGGCAAAAATATTGCACTTAAAACGTTTTAAAAATCTCCCTGAAGATTAGGCCTATATAAATAAATAAACAAGTGTGAAAAGATATATGAATAAAAACATTCCAGGTTAAAAGTCTGTTTAGCTATTTTGTTGTGTTTAAGTGAGAGACAAAAAATTGAAAAAAAAACTATTAAATTTATATTTCTTGTGAAAGTTATGAATTGATTTAAAGACTTAACCTACACTGGCCATTTAATGTTTTGTTTTTGTCACTAACATGACATAAGTGTAAAGAACACTTAAGCTAAAACAATATTTACTAACAAAAGTGCCATTTCTTGAAAAAAACTTTTGTTTTAAATGTGTTCATACTTCTATATTCCCCAGCAAACTTTTGCCTTAAAGCGATTCACCTTTCTTTAGCAATGCCAAACATTCCAGTCTTTGTTGTTTTAAATTGCCTTTTAAAGTTTTCTGCAAAATACTTTCATGTTTAGAAATTGCAAAGTGTTTTATTATTAGCTCATAAGCTATGAATGCATTTCCTGTATAAATCATTTTAAGAATTCCTAGCAATAATTTTTGTGGAATTGTAATATAGCAGAATGTCATTTTGAATTTAAGATCAAACCATAACATCACCAAGATATCAAAGTCAACTTTTAGTTCAATGTCAGAGGGTAATTTTATGTTTTATTCAAGGTCAGTTATATGTTTTCATTATAAGGCCATTAACCACTAGTTGTTTAAAGCACACATTCCAAAACTATATTTCATAAATTTCTTCACGTTTTGCATATGAAACACTAAGAAATACTATTAGTGAAATTAAGAGAGTACATACAAAGTAGTTTTTGGGTCTATTTTTATTCTGTTACCTGAACCAATTAAAATGAGTGTATTTTGCAGTTAACTTCATCATGTATCTTTTATCTCCATCATGAAATACAATAAAAGATGAGGCAGCATTTTTCATTATCATCATTTATAACAAAAAGGTGCTGACTTATGCATAAATTAAGGATTTTTTAGTAGGTGCTAATCCTTCCATCCAGATTGTCTTAGCACAGATAAAGGACAGCTTATGTATATTCTAATATTTTTAGTTTGTAGTTTTTTTTAACAGTATTATTATTTTGAACTACAAATTAAAGCTCATGTGTTCTATTAATCTGTTGTGTTCATCTATGTGTTCTTATGCAAGTCAGAATAGGGTTCATTAACATGTTATTTTGTTAAAGTGTCTTTTTAACAAATATTTAGACCATACATGTGGTATCAGTATGCATTTACAATACAACAATTTTATTGAGGAAAAAATGTGTTTTCAAATTGGAAAACTAATTTAAAACAAACATTTACAGAGAATATTTAGAAAATTTCATTTTATTTCATTTGATTTCTGATAATGCTATGGTAATCTCTATTCTAATTAATAATGTTTCTTAAATTTTTGATAAAGCAGCTGATTCTATATATGTGGACCTTTATTTAATGACTGCAGCACGGTGTTCAAAGATAAACGGTGCAGAATCTCTCTAGTCCCAAATTTATTAAGCACCAGTTGAGAAGTTCACGAGTCCTGGTTTTATTTTGTTACAATCGTTTGTTATTTTTTTATATATTTCTTTTTGAATGACTTTGTTTTTCTCTTTTTACCAAAGTTTTTTGTTTGTATATAATTTGTGCTAACATTTGTTGTGTTTTTGTTTAAATTGTAGCCATTTTGTGTTCATTTATTATTTTTTCTTTGTATAGAACGGGACAAGATGTTTCAGGCTGTTTTTATTAATTGCCTTCTTTGACAACTGGTCAGACTGTTGAAATGGCATCTATCCCATAAAATCAAACACTGCCATTTTATACTTTTAAAACACTTGTTTAATTCTAGTGACAAATTTCAAATGTTATTTTGATTTTTTAGAACCATTAAGTTAAGAAGAATGTCTCAAAACTATCTGTTTTGTTGTTTCAAGAACCCCTACAATGCATAGGAATTGGATAACTTGGTAATCTTCTCTTATCTTAAACCCAAAATAAACCTACATGGTAATATTTTAACTCAGATCTTTTTAATTTCTTGGTTATTTCTGTAATAATGATAAACCTTATTCAACTTTATTGTATAAGTGATTGGGCCATTGGTTCAAAATTGGAAAAAATATAATTCTGGTGTTCAAATTTTATTGTTCTGCCCTCAGATTTGCTTTATTATTTTATATAAAAAAAAACAAGTTGAATGATGGAAATTTTTTTGCTGCTATATCCTGAATTTATACTATATTTTGTCTGATCTCAATTGTTTGCATATCATTATTCTTAATTCAGGTATTTTTTTTTTAATTTGTTATTGTTATTCTAATTTGTTTTTTTTTTTTTTTTCTGTTGTTTTGTTTATGCTTAGCTGTTCTGGTTATCAAAGTCGCAGATTAAACATATATGTGGTATTAAAACATTGTAAGAGGACAGATTTAATGAATTGTTTACATGTAATATTTAATTGAGATAAATTAGTTATATTTATCTGATTTTTTCATAACATTCAATTCTTTAATTGAAATAAAAAGTGTAAAGTGTTTGTTGATGTTAATACATACCACTTTGCATTTGAAACTTATAAAAAACCATGCTTATTATCACAACAATGCAGCGCCTGGTATAAGACTACATTCCAATAAAACTATTGTACAGCATGCAAATATAAATTTTAAGATAATAAACATAAATATCTTTATATATATATTTATAAATCAAATTAGTGTCAGCTGTTGTAAGCTTTTGATTATATATCGCTTTTTCTTCCAAAATGACGATTTATGAAATCTTCCCGTCCTTGATCAGCAATACTCTTCTGTCGTAGAACAATTTGTAGTTTCTGGATACTTCTAATATGTAATTAGGCAACAATAAGACAATTATGTATATTAAGTAGAAAAACTATGGAATCAATTATTTTTTATTTGTAAGTAATGTTTTGTGAATAGATGTTGTACAATAGTAATAAAAATCTCATTAATAAATAAAATGAACAATTACATATGTATGAATTTATGTACAGAATCTCCTTAATTTACAAGCTTCTTACTATGAATGAACAATTTATGTGTATAAAGATATTTTTAATTAAGTGCTAATATAACAGATACATGTTGTTTGTAGAGAAAATGGTCAGAAGTATTTTTTAGATTATGACCTGTTTTAAAGCATACATTGTAGTCTATAGATTGAGGAAATAATGCCTTAATTGGTTTTACTACTAATCAGTTGTAAGAATGCTATTTTAGACTGATTTAGTGTGCTAACCTGCTTACATTTGTCAAAATAAAACTTTACGAAAGTAGTTAAACAGGAGAGGGACATAGAAGGCTTGAAAGCATTGGCAAAAACAGGGAGAAAAAGCATTTTATGACTTATTTAGTAAACTGATTTTATTCATATTTCCCAGTCCCATCCAAACACAGAAAATAACGGTCAAGTTAAATGACTGACCATTCTTACTTGAGTAGCCATTATGTAAAGCACTACAATGTATGGTTTGACATTGACAGACTTTGACAAGTTTATAGATTGTGCTTTTTTAGATAACTTGTGTGTATGTAAGAGAATCAAACCAAAGAATAGGGTGAGAATGTTCCCTGTTAGTCTTCCCACCGGTTGTAGTAAGTTTCCTTGTTACTGTGAACAGAAAAACACTGCTTTTCTTCCAATTGTTTGGTTTTCAAAAAACTTTTTTTTTTAAATAGTTATGTTTGAATTGTCTTCCTTCAAATGATGGTATTATTTCTTTATTTCTTTTCAAACCTAATTTACTTTCTGAGTAGGAAATAAATCCATGTATTCCACCAATATTTTCCATTTTGTTTTGATAAATATTTTACATTTGTTATAGTTTTATCTTTAAAAACCTGTTGAATGATTTATTTCACTTAACTTGCATTTTTTTTAATCAAATGAAAGATATTGTATTCTTTTAAAGGAACTCCCAATTCTTTCTTGTTAACAGAAACATTTGACTTTCAAGAAAAATTCTCCTTTTTATCCTTTTATGCAAAAATATAAAGTGATACTTTTTGGTAGAGAAAACTTAAAATGAACTGTTTGAGTTCTTATTTTTTTTTTACAAAAGAAAGTGCATACCGTTCATCTTTAAGTATTACAAAAGTTTAATCTAAATCTTTTTTTTTTAATCACAAATTTCAGTAAAGGAGAAGCTGACCTTGTTTATGTCGTGTGCTCTTGAATCTTCAAAAGTGTCCTGTATATAATGCTGAATCTCTTTTGAGATGTCAGCTTGGTTATATATTAATTTTAATATGAACACAAATTTTTATCTTTAATTTATACATCTGTGTACTTATAAGTAACAGATAGGCTTAATGTATGTCCCAATTAATCTGTATAAATGGAATTTTGGTGCATAAATGTGAACTATTTATTTCTGTTAAGTAACACTTTTTTAAGTGGACATTTGTTTATTGTAACAATTTATTTCCTTGCAAATATGTATATTTTGATGATTTTAAGATATTTTGAAGAAATTACATTGGAGAGTTATATATGCAAAATCTTATTTTAGTCAAAAAGTTATGACATTAGGTGTATAGCCTTTTTGTCTTTCCTAAATCAAATTTTTACTATGAAAATTTTTAATTGTAGAAGTATATGAATATTTTTCCAGACAAATTTCTTGTTACTTGTTATAGCAATACTAACCATTAATTAAAATAACTAAATATGCAAATGATCAAGTAATTGTCAAAATTAATACCAGATGTACTGTAAAAGTATCAATATTTATAGTTGACCAATAAGTTTGCTTCCAAGGCAGATATACTATACAAATGATTTTCAACTTTAAAAAAACGGTCCCTTGTTTTTAGTAAATATTTGCATCATTCTACCAATAAATTTTTTTTGGAAAATGCTCATTTAAAGAGACTCATAAATATGGACCAAATACTGTTAACTCCGAAATAACTGCTTTGAATACAAATTATAAAGGGGAAAAGTGTAACACAAAGATAATCATAATATTCATTAAAAAATAAATATGTACTGATAATTGTGTTTATAATGCCAATCATTTGAAATTTAAAGTAAAACAAAATTCAGAAATTCTGATCTTACAGTATCCAGATTTGATAGTTAGTAGGACTTTGTGTCAATTTTGTCATAAATTCCACTGTTTCATAGATGATCGTGTACGATAGTATTTCTATATGATATTGATACTTTTACATGAGAAGTTTCTTCCAATAATTCTGCAGCCTGTTAAATGCCTTTCTTGTTTGTTAGATGTAGTATCTTAGATGCTTTCTGTTTGTATTACTAATGCTAGGTTGTACGTTATTGTTTGATAAAAAAAATTGTGTAGCGTAGTGTATAAAAAATAAAGCAATAAGTCTAAATACTTGTTTTCTTGTTTTGGTGCCAAAGTAGTGGTTTAAGTCCAATACATTGTTTTAGTCCAAAGCAGTAGTTTTAAACGGCCTAATTTATAAAAAAACAAATTTATGAAAAACAAATATGACAGACATGAACCAATGACAACCACTGAACTACAGGCTCCTGACTTGGGACAGGCAGATAAAGAATGTGGCTGTGTTACTATAAAAATCAGTTGAAAAGGGCTTAAATCATCAGATTTATACAAAGCAGAGTCGCATCTAACAAGAACACAGACCGGACGTGGCAGGATATTTATAAACTGACAGCTAGTTTAAAGCCAATAACAATTAATAAAAAATCATGTATCTAAGACAAAAATATCAATCAGTACAAATCCAACATCCAATGGATTTAGTGTAAAGACGTCATTGACAGTCAGAAAAACATTGCCTTATGCAATGTCAAAATATAGGTATCAACATATTAGTGGTTGAGGTTCAAAGCAGTGGGTTTAGAAGATGTACACAAGGAGTGATATTTGCATACACAAATGATATAATGATGTATGTCTCCAAAACCAGATGCTACAAAAAACAAATGTACTTTGATTACAAATTACAAAAAAAAAAAACCACTGAAATTCATTGACTGCTTTATACAAGACTCAACTAATAATTCAGATTTCTTACTGGCTTTAAGGTTATAATCTGCAGGTAGTTGATAATTAAAGAAACATCTTCATAAAAAAAAACTGGCCAAGTAGTCCGAGTAGATTGGCTGCTGTATCACTAGTCTATCAACACTATAATGTGATGAGTTCAATCCCTGCACTTAGAAGGTGCATCTCCAATCTTAACTGATTAAGATTGCCAGTTAAAGGTCGTGGTTCTCTTTGGGCAACTTTGGCTTCATCCACCATGTTAACATTGTCTAGATTTTGTCTTGTTATGAGGAAGTTGGGGAGATGAGAGGTAGGCACGCTATTTCAGACAAGCGACAGAAGGGGTGTCAACAGATGTGCAAGTTTGTGGTTAGGTCAATTTATTGTGAATCATTAATAACAAGGTTTTGATATTTGATAGACATGCATGGTACTGTTTCATTTACATTGGTACATCTCACTTTCATCGAGATTATTTGACTTCTTCTTGTTAGTCCTGGACTTCTTACTTAGAAACTTTTGGTAGTTTAATTTTCATAAAAACATTTGTAAATTCAATATTACACCCAGGCGCAACATATGTCTGTATCAATAGTACATTTGTCATGTATTACAGTATGTGAAGACATGAATATTAAACTGTTAAGGTGTGAATGTAAGAGCTCAATAAAAGGAGATGTGGGGTATACATCAATGAGACAGCAACCCATCGACAAAATTATCAAAAAGATCACACTGTCAAAAGTAGGTGACTGTGCAATATGTACAAGAACCGATTTCTTGTGTTTGTTTGACAGTTTACTAAACATAGTTTAATACCACTTTCTAAACCTTGTGGACAAGAGTTATTGATAGAGGAGACTGGAGTTACCTGTAATGATGTTGTGACCTCGCATCATGGATACAAGTAGAGCCATTACAGACCAGTCACTACCGGACTTGCTACAAATTCCATCGCATATCTCAAGGGATAATCTATGAATGATTCATTAGTCTCAGAGAGTTGGCTGTCGCCTATTAAACTGAAAATACCTCCGAAACCATTTTATATGCATAACAGAATTAACCTGACATATGGTAGACTATTTTTATGCCCCTGCCGTAGCGGAGGGGGCGTTAAGTTTTACCCTTGTCCGTCTGTACGTCCGTCCGTCCGTACGTACGTCCCAAAATTGGTTTCCGTTCTCTAACTTTAGTTTGGCTCAACCAAATTAAATGATATGAAACTTATACACAATGCTTATTACCACAAAACACAGATCAAGTTTGAATTTGGGTGGCGTCTCTTTTACCATTCTAGAGTTATGCCCCTTTACAAATGGAAAAATTGCTGAATTTTTCGTTTCAGTTCTCTAACTTTTGTTTGCCTCAAACAAATGTTATGAAACTTATACACAATGCTAATTACCACACAGGTTTGAGCTTTCTAAAAACCTGTGGACTGCTTCGCTCTATCCTAATTTAAGGTAATATGTGGTTCTTGATTTAGTATTGGAAATGTGGTATTTTTAGATATTGATTGATATAAAATGGATGTCTTAGACTTGGAATATCAATTTTTGTATATATATTAAGATGAACTTTTCTGAAATTTTAAACTGGCTGTTTAGTGTTTAGATGCGTTATACACCCATGCTTTTAAAATTTTGTTCACTTTACTTGTTAAAAATTAAAACATTTACAAATAGACACGACTCTGGAGGTGTGTCTAGATTGGCAGAAGTTATACAGATAAAGCATTTTTGTAAACATTGTATAGGAACATTGTTTAGCAAAACAAATCGTGCATATTGCAGATTAACAAAGCAAATAAACACGTACTAATAATTGATATATATATCAATATTGAATTTCAGTGTGCAATATATGCATAATAAAACGAACATGAATTAATGAAGTTGATCGGAACTGAAAAACACATAGTTAATTTTCCGGCATTTGATGTCTTATCCTGACACGGGCAAAGTCTGTAATTTTTTATCTCATTTAAGCCAATAGCTGTTGCTGTATCTCAGCTGCATCATAAAGCAACCAATCAGAATCTATATGTGTTAAGTAATTATTTCAAGATGGCGTGTATATCGGCTGAAACTAATATCTCCGCAACGTGATGCGAAGCAAAAACACAAATCAAGTTTGAATTTTGGTGGCGTCACTTTTACCGTTCTAGAGTTATGCCCTTTACAAATGGAAAATTGTAGAAATATTTGTTTCTGCTCTCTAACTTTAGTTTGCCTCAACTAAATGTTTTGAAACTTATGCCGTGACAATGCTAATTACCACAAAACACACTGAGATCAAGTTCGAATTTTGGTGGCGTCACTTTTACCGTTCTAGAGTTATGCCCCTTTACAAATGGAAAAATTGCTGAATTTTTCGTTTCCGTTCTCTAACTTAAGTTCACCCCAACTAAATGTTATGAAACTTATAAACAATGCTTATTACCACAAAACTCAGATCAAATACAAATTTGGGTAGAGTCACCTTTTCAGTTCTTGAGTTATGTCCCTTTATAACGTTACATGCAAGCGGGGGCATCATCTGTGTCCCATGGACACGTTCCCCATATTTTTTTAATCCTTTGTCATAAGTGGAAGTCCTAACGGTAACCTATTTGCATCTGCAAACCAAATCACATTGTTATAGATCACTTTATTAGAACATACATACATGTTAATCATTTTGAAAAAGAAAGTACTAGCAGAATAAGTAAAATGTTTCGTTAACATTAAAAAGATTTATACATAGGTGTCTTATTCCCGAAATCAGGAGAATCTCAAAATAATATAACTGAAGCAACATCGAAGACAGAACTGATGAACTTCATAAACTGTACGGTAACAGCAACGTAGAGAACTCCGATGGAATTCAAACTTTTTACATTGCGATGACCGTGATGGCATTCCGATGTATTGTTGCCGACGAGATTTCTACTTACGTAACTTTCGTGTTTGACTAGTAACCGATCTATAAATACGCGGACATTATGGAGTGCAACATAACATTCCTTATCGCTTGTTATAAATTCATTTCTTAAATGAATACTCATAAAATATTTTTGTTTAGAACATAAATTAATGATATGAAAATGTTTTTGTCGTTAATAGAAATATATATATAAGTAAAAAATCATTGATAAATCTATGCACACGTACAGAAAAATTGTGTTAACGCATGCGGAAGAATATTTCAAGAACGTTTTGCGGGAAAATATGAATGCCTGCTCAAATCCAATCTATTAGAAAAATCATATTATTACAGAAGAGTGTCCACCATGCATTTGCACTACACTATTATTAGAATAGTAAAATAGAATGATATACAAATGGATGAAAATTATATTTTATACATGTAACTGTTATAACAACAAACCAGAGTATACTGATTTGTATCACTACAATATAATAGTTATTACGGTGACGTTGAATTCCCTGTCATTTATTCATTATCCACGCACGAACTTGTCCCAGAAAAAAAATTAACCTCACTTTTAGGTATACAGATGTGATTTTTTTTCTGAGACAAGTGCTTGTGACAATCCACAAGAACTTGTGGTCATCCGATGTTCAGTACTTCAGTACTTTGATTACTGTTGTTTTATGTTTTATGGTTAATCTTTAGAAAGACCCAACGAAACATCACTTGGTAGATTTTATGATTTTAGACGATGTATTCTCGGTAAAAAAAATACAGTTTTCTAAATACATGTACACATCAAACCACTCTAACGAAATCCAACATTAATAGTGCTAGTTGTAATTTTGCACCATGATACAAGAATCTCTCATCTAGATATGTCGAACAGGACTGTTTTTTTCTTTTCAATATAATGTTTCCTTGGCTGCTTCCTATGGTGTGTACATTTCTCAGTTACGTCTCAGATTTCAATGAACACACACAAACACACACACACATTTTCGTTACTAGAAAACTGTTACAACAGGCATATAGATATAGTAAATTGTTCATTTTCTAAATGTTATCACAAATAGAGTAATTCAGTATGGTTCAACATGAAGGAACTTAATAAAAATTGGTTTTTCGTATCCAACTAATTTTTACCCTAATTTTACTTGTCAACCTACTATTTTGGAAAGAACCTGAATTTGCATAGTTTGAAACAAAACTATCATTTTCGTTCTGCATTGAAATTCTCGGTGTTAAGAATTATACTAGGTATTGTACAAGATCGTGTCTTCCTTCCCCTCGTAGATTAAGAGTGCTGTTTTCGCACATTCAGCAATTTTCCTGTACTGCTTTTATTGTACGTGGTTGAAAACGGGGAGGTTTAAGGTCTCAAAAGTATAACTTCGCCATAGATCAATGTACCTATCCCCCGTGTCAGGAAGCTCGTATGTG